GAGAGAGAGAGAGAGAGAGAGAGAGAAAGAGACAGAAAACGGGGGAAAGAGAGAAATAGAGAAAGAGCGAAAACCACTCACACGTCGACAGCGTCGCCACCATCTCCACCAAGCTAATCGCCCCCAGCGCGTCGGCCTTTTGCGCCGCCGGACACATGTCGATCATGACGCTCTTGGCCGCCGACGCGCTGCCCGACGCCAGCGGCAGCAGCGTCGCCACCGCGAAGACGTGCCACGACTGCGCGCACAGCGCCGCCAGGCCCGTCAGGACCCCGTCGGCCGCGAGGCTCCATTTGAGGAAGAAGAGGTCGAAGGCGCTGCTCGAATGCTGTTGCGATGCGGGGCCGGTCGTCGACGTCGGTGTCGGGTCGAGGATGGCGGTCGAGGGGTCGGCCGAGTCTTCGAGGCAGGTGGATATGGCGGCTTCCATGTCTTGGGCGGCGGAGACGCGGCGGGAGCGTTTGGATGTCGGGGTGGTGGCGGTGGTGGTGGTGGGGGGTGCGAGGTGGGCGGAGTGGGGGGATGGGGCGGGTGGGAGTACCGCCGCTGGGGACGTACTGGTGCATGAGGCGTGGGGGTTGAAGAGGGTGGAGGTGGCGAACCACTTGCGGCCGTGGTCGATGATGTGGGGGAAGGCGAAGGTGAGGAAGGTGCCGCGGATGACGCAGTAGTAGGACATCAGGACGCCGTTCTGTCGTGCGCCGCGGGGGGCGGGGCGGGTCAGCGCGCTGTGTGATGGGCTGTAGGGGGGGGGAAGGGAGACAGAGAGCGCGGCATTCATACCTCCTTGGTCCCGAAGCCGAACTTGATGGTCGAAAACATCTGGATGAGGGTGGGGATGTAGCCCGTGGCCAGCACGCCGGTGAAGATGCCGCCGAACAGCAGCGGGACGCCAAAGTGGCGCTTGATGCGGCCGTCGGGGAGGCGCCACCTCTGCGGGGCGAGCATCTTGGCCGGCCCCAGGAAGCGCGACAGGCCCTGCTTCTTCTCCGACTCTTCGTCCTGCTTCGGCGGCGGCACGTAGGGCAGGAAGAAGTAGGCGTAGAGGGTGGCAAAGGCCATGGAGCACATGGCGATCTCCCACGGTGCTTGGATGCCGAACAGGTCGCCGAAGACGCCGCCGACTGGGGGGGTGCATGTTGTTGTTAGCGGGGGTCGTGGCGGGGACGGCGGGCCGGTGGCGGCACTTACGGAGGTAGCCCAGGGCGGTGCCGAACATGATGATGCCTTGGAGCTTGCCGAAGACTGCGGTGCGCTGGGCGGGAGACACGACTTCGGAGATGAAGGTGTTGAGGACGAGCCTTGGCTATCAGTCTTGGGGTGCATGGGCTGGTGAAGGGGAATGTGCAGCGTACATGTAGCCAGCAGGGCCGCCGAAGAGGCAGATGAGCTGGGTGGACTGGATGATGATGATGCCGGTCATGCCGCCGACCATGACTGCGGTACAGTTAGTTGCCATGTCGGCCAAGGGCATGATGCATAGTTGGCTTGCCTCCGACGTTTTGGCACATCAACCGAATCACGGGGAAGAAGGTCTGCTGGACCATGGCGAATCGGGGGCCGAGTTTTTTGATCATGTAGCCGCTGAGCAGCAGGTTCATGACGCCTGTTTGGGCATCAGTCGGGTGCTTGGCGGGGGGTTAGGGAGGAGCATACCAACGATGGTGGTCGACGTGCCGACTAGCGTGACCTGACGAGCGGTTTCGGCCTCGATTTCGTGGACTGCACAGCGGTCATGGCCGGGCGGCGGGATCTCATGGGTTTTGTAAAACTCGTCGCATGTCATGAGGCGGAAGGCGTAGAGCATGCTGAAGGGGTGTGAGTTGGTGGATTGTGGGACTGATCGGGTTGACTCACGGCACCTGGGTGAAGGACAGCGACAGACTCATGATGAAGCCCATCAACAGTATCTTGGCCTCGACCCATTTTTTCTCGCGTTTGTCTTGGTCGTGCGGCTGTTTCTGGGCCAGCAGCGGCGTGGTTTCCGTGTCCACAGCCATGGTGCCTTTGAATCCGCAAGAAGAAAAAAAGAGGCAGAAGTTGAGGGCGCAAGAACGCGTGGGGCGCGAGGGTAAGAGGATGGCGCGAGCTGGGCTTCGGCTGTCGTGCGGGCCAGGCCGGCAAAAGATAAGGCTCGGCTATTGCGCTGTTTTTGGTGGCCGGTGGTTGCACTGCGGCCGTGATACGAGGCGGGGTCTCGCAGGGTAGGCCGATAGCGGCACAGTCAGCGACTGGCTTGATGGATACTTATTCTTGTCCGTCGAGCACCTTCGCGGTTCTGGTAGCGCCTAGCTCCTTTGTTTCAATCACGCGCCCTCAGCCCTACCACAGATCAACTTTGGTCCGGATTCCTTACGGCTTGCCGACTGCACCCACGGTTCGTAGAACCGCCCAACCTCTCTTCGGGTATTGGCAGAAAACGGCGGATGCTACTCGGGTGCAACACCTCAGCCACACCCTCGGTGTCTGCGTTACACCAGAACACAGTGATTTCGTCCGTCGCACCACAGAACTGACCCCATCCTTCAGCCCACTATTCCCAGCGGCAAAGTAGTGTCCTGGACGCCAACTCCATGTTTATTTACTTGCGCATTCTCGTCCTCCAGTACCGGCTGTCACTGCACCATGAAGGGTCATCAGCAGAGGCTGAGCTCGCGCAAGCGGCAGCGCTGAAGTGCACCGCTTTTTCTTCTGCTCAGACCTTCTTGGCTAAACAAAACCAAGCCTTATTCGCTGGGGATATCCACTCGGGTCGCAACCGACGCCGGCCATGTGGTTAGCCGTTAACCCTAAACTAAGCTTAAACTCAACCTTCATCGGGAACGTGCACCACTACTCACTCTTGGCTCCATCTCTAGAGCCAACTTCAATATGCACGATTCTCAAGAAGCACACTATTGATGATATTCACGGCTTGGATTCTCAATGTCAAAACTATCCTTGTATAAACCGGTTCAACCATCGAAGCGGGAATAACCCGAAATTTACGACGAGGGGAACTTTTCGGCAGCGAACTTGAAGTCGCCGGTCCAGGTAACGCCGTTGTCAGACGACTTGAAGCCAGACGAGGTGACTCCCTCCATCATCAGGGAGTTGCCGAAGCTCGTGTCCGCGGCGCTCAGGGTGATGGTCATGTTGGACCAAGCTGCGAGTAAAACAAATCAACAGCCGTACACGTGCGCCGCCGACGCGGGGGTGAAAACTTACTGTAGGCTTCTATGCTTCCGCACTGGCCCGAGTAGCACTCGTTGGACGCGATGACCCACTTGGGGTTCTCGCCGATGTTGCCTTTTGCTCGGTTTAGTAAAGGAGACTTTGGACCCGCGTGGTAGGGACTTACTGTTGGTCAGCGTCGAGACGACCTTGCCGTTGATCGAGACCTTTTGCTCAACCGTGCCGGATGAGACGGTTTCGACTGCATGAATTAGCTCAAGCCATATAATCGAACTGATGTCGTCGGGGCGTCATACTCTCGAAATCCATCGTAGAGCCAATGGGGACCGCGACGTAGGGCTCAGCAGTCTGGCCAGCTGTCGAGATATTAGCCTTGGAATCTTCCATGCGCAAGGTCACGACTTACTAGGCAAGAGGGTGCTGGCAACGACGCACCAGGCGTCGTTGTTGGCGGGGCAGCCACTGTGCGCATGGATCAGTAGTGTATCACCAATATCGGATGCATCTTGCAACTCACACGGCTGCGTTGTCCGGAGCCCAGTTCAACAGCGGCTGCATAAGGGGAATGTCGTTGTCGCTCTGGGTAGCCGAAATGCCTAGCGTTTGATCATCAGTGCTGTGAAACTGAACGCAGAGGCTGGAAACACGAACCAACCCAGATGCTCATCCAGCAGTCGCTCTGGGTGAAATCGCTAGGCGCGGCCGGCGGCACGAGAGAGTAGGTCGCCTTCTTGATGTACGTGCTGCCGCTCGTGGGGCCCATGTAGACGGTGTCGCCAAAGTGCCATTGGTCATCTGCTACAGCTCCCAATGCAAGAGCCAGCACGGCAACGGCGGATGAAGTGGAGCGCATTTTCGCTATAATGAGTGTCGAGTAAAGAACGTTGGGGAGAGGCAGCGGCGAGTTGACGGGTTTGCGAACTCGAAGCTGCAGACGCCTATATATTTTATAGGGGAGAACAACACGAAGCAACCGAGAGTGGTGTGTGTTGAGATATACCTGAAACAAGGCGAAACCATGACGGCCGTAACGGGAAAGTGTTGCGGCCAATAGCAGACCATTGCGCTGGATTGTTTTAAACGCCTCCGCACCATGGCTCCGTGTAGACCTTTGTAAGATCCAGTACCGATACGAGAACTCCCACACCTGCAATTTCCGTCGCGGCAGAGGAAATCCCGAAGAAAGATCGGCCGCGAAAACGTAACGACGTGCCAAGCAGGCACAAGCAACACTTAGTAGTAGATCTACAGAATCGGACTACATAGTATTATGTGCCAATAGCATTGCGTGCCTATGAATGCAAAGGTAAACAGGAGGGATAACAGCATGGTAACGTGATCGGCGTCTTTGCCGTAGCCTCGCCGAGATTTGCCGGGTTTAACTGATTCGGTAAGTAGCCGGACTTGAGAATCAACGGCATCTCCCGTGTCAATTCCACTCCTTTAAACTATGGGTGTATTCGTTAAAAAACCATTTCACCACCTGTTAGTCCTTGGCCTACGTCTACTAGTATGACTCGAACACTTTGTAGCGGAAGATTAAAAGCACTAAAAGTTTACGAAGATATTCCGGCACTTACCTCTATATAACTTTACCATATCTCCTAATCCCAACTATACTTTTACTAGGGTACCCCCGGCTAATAGTGGCGCTATTATTAATAGCGGTATACCTAGTAGCCGTTTCCGGGCGTTATAATAGCGTTATCTATTATTATAATAGTATAATTACTATATTTAATAGTTTCTTAATAAGATTATATAGAAACGGTAGGGGTAACGATAGTAATATTCGTATTTTAAATAGAAATATTACGATATTATATAGTATTTTAAACTAACCCGCCGCTACCGCCGCCGCCGCCTACCGCCCTAATAATTACTACTAATACTACCCCCGATATTTCTTCTAATACCCCCCCTACGATCGTGCTACTATAATAAGCGCGCGATTAGGCTAACTACTATATATATCTATCCTCCGCGTATATTCGTATAGGTTATAATATCTATAGAATATACGATATTATTTA